ACTTAATCTGTGTTACCTTCAATTAACATTAAGTCAAAATTTAGGGACAATCAAGAATCTTCCAGCTGAAGTGGCTCTTGGGCCAGCATCATGGTGGGCCAGTATTATGGTGGGCCAGCATCATGGTGGGCCAGCATCATGGTGGGCCAGCATCATGGTGGGCCAGCATCATGGTGGGCCAGCATCATGGCCGTCACCTGGGAGCTTATGAGAAAGACAGAAATCAGGGTCACCCAGACCTGACACTCTCTGAATATACTGCAGCAAAATCCCCATCCCTGTGCTCACATTTGCACTAAAGTTTGCCAAGCTCCCCACTTATGACTGCGTTTGCTTAGGCAAGACCCCTGGAGCCTGGAGAACCAAGGAAAACAGCACTCCCTCATGGGAGAGTATGAGGAGTTAATATCATCAGAACACTTGGAATTTTGAATGTTATGAAACAGGAACTCGGTTTCACATCCTGTGGGGTGTGATGACACATTTTAAGGATTAGCATTGCTCTTCCCAGAAAGTGCAGGGAAGATATTGCAAATTAATAAGCGGGGTTTCTGATATTGCTTCTAAGTAGGGGAGGGGAATGGACTGCATGCATATTCTTCACCTTTTCTTATTAAGGGCAGCTCTTCTCCGGGTGGTTATTTTTCACTGTTGGAAACAACAACATGAAAATAGACATAAATAAGAATCAGCTAAATGGACTGTCTCTGAACACACTAAGTATTATAAAATTTTGGATGCCCAGGCTCAACCCTAAGCCAATTAAGTAAACATCAGGATTGTTATATAATAACAAATGACCAGGTATTTTAAATCTCTCCAGGTCATTCAGTGGAGCTAGAATTGAAAACAACTGTCTTTTGAGATCCTTGTGAGAGGAGGCAGTTCTGAGACTAGTTCTGCCTTTCCACCCTCCACTCACCAGTGGGACACTCCCCCCCCCCATGCATTGTGCAACCAAGCTGAAGAGAGGGGAGAGGGAGAGAGAGGTGGGGAGGGAGGGAGGGAGGGAGGGAGAACGGATGGATGGATATATTTACTGGTCAGTGGCTTTTTCAGACATTGAGGGATGCAGAACTTTTTTAAGGGGAGTTTGTAATTAGAGTGGGTGATATTAGCTTTTGATAAAAATGGGTGCATAATACACATTTCCTGAAAGCCCTTAATTTGTATATTTAAAATGAACAAATTCTTTGTGTAAATCACAACTCTATCAAGTTGTATTTTTAAGTTCTGTGTATGCTGCAGTATTCATGATTTCATTGATTGGATAACCAGGAAATCAGTGCCCATTGCATGTCATTGGCGAGTCAGCACCTGGTTGAGTCCTTGGGGACAGGTGAGTTGGTATGTGGATCCCTGATGTTGGATTGATTCCTAAACTGATATCACCCACCACGAATACCTGAAGTTCATAGCTGAGGAACCAATAAGGAGATGTTTTAACTTACTGAAGAGGATCTAAGGGTTGAGGAGATGGCTGAGGTGGTAAAGTGTGTGTGGAGGACCTGAGTTCCATCCCAGCATCCATGTAGAAAGCCTATAATCCTAGCACTAGGGAGGCCGAGACAGGAGGTTGGAGCTGAGGGACCTTATCTCAAAAAATAAAGTGGAAATTGATTGAGATAGACACCTAGCGTTGACCTTTAACCTCCACATGCACAGGCACATACATGCATGCATGTGCACCTACCCACAGGTGCCCACACACATGCATACACACCTAAAATTATTATCTGAAATCTTTGAGGAAAAAATGTTTTAGCTAAATTTATGGAGTTAGATTTAACCAGAAATCCTTTTTGTTGAAAATGTTCCTAAAATTAGCTGTTTCACTGTCCCACCCATTCTTGGAGCCAGGCTGGCCTTGAACTCATTGCACAGCTGTGGATGACTTTTATCTTTTTTTTTTTTTTTTTTCTTTTTGAGACATGGTCTTACTATGCAGTCCTAACTGGCCTGGAACTCCATATATAGAGCAGGCTGGCCTTGAACTCACAGGGATGAGCCTGCTTCTGCCTTCCGAGTTTTGGGGTTTAAAGTTGTCTGTCAGGGCCTGGCACTTGACCGTTCTGACTCCACCTACCAAGCACTAGGATTACTGTTGTGTGCCACTGTGCCCAGCTTCTGCCCTAGTGATTGCAATTCAATGAACATAAAATTTTGTTTTAGTGACTCGGTATGTAGAAATGCCATGAGATCTACATAGTTATTAAATACATATTGAGCATGTTATTGTATACGTCGTGAGCCTTGGAAGTCTGAAACAGCTCCGAGATAACCACTGCATTAGGAAATTGCATGTTTATTTCAAGAGGAGCCATAGTCTTGCCTTTGGGATTTTCTGAAGGTTTGAAAATGTTCAAAATCCCTAAACAAAACAAAAACACTTTTATACCCATAGAAATCTGTTACTGCCCTACAATAAGCAGTTGGGTTCTACTTGTTTATTTAAATGTCAAGAGAATTTAGGGACTGTCTTAGCACAAGCTGAAGTTGTAATGGTTAAAGTCTTCATTGAGTTAGAGAAAATTGGTTTGGGATATTTGACATTCCATTTCTGGAATGTGCTCCTGCCTTTTAAGTATGACTAAGCAGGTAACTGTGGGTTGGGGGTGGGGAGTGGGGGGCTGACTCCAGGGTGCCTTCCCTCTGGTGAAAGGCATTTTCTCCTAACAACTCCAGGGCCTTTTCACTTGGAGCCTCCTACTGGCTATGAAAATTATGGCCCTGTAAAGCTTGGTAGTTTCACAAACCAATAAAAAGGGGTGGCACAAGATTACCAACTCGACCAGTGTTATCACTGCGCTTTCCTGAAAGAAGGACATTTGCTCTAGAGAGTAGGAAAGATACACTCTTCGGTGTAAAGGATGATCCTTCAAGTGGGGTAACCACACAGCGCCTTGCTTTCCCGTGTGTTTCTAGCTGGTATTCAGGAGTCAGTGCACGAGCACCTTTCAGGCAAGGCTGTGGAAAGCCAGATTCACTGTGAGACGTCCCTAGTTTTAAGCTAGATTGCATTCATGGCACACTGTTGTCAAAAATGATGCAGTAGTTACACATGAATTAGGGAGCAGTTGGTAAACACAAATTTATTATCTTTCACACATATAACATGGGGGAGGGGAGGGCTGGAGCAATGGCTCAGCGGTTAAGAGCACTGGCTGGCTGTTCTTCCAGAAATATCAATTTATTATCTTTTACATATATAACAAGGGGGGGGGGTTGGAGAGATGGCTCAGCGGTTAAGAGCACTGTTCTTCCAGAGGTACCAGGGTTTAATTCTCAGCTCCCACATGGTATCTTACAACCGGCTATAACTGTAGTCCCATGGGATCCAATGCCTTCTTCTGGTGTGCAGACATTCATGTAGACAAAATACCCATACACACAAAATAAATAAATCTTTAAAAAAAACATGCACGCGTACATACACACACACACACACACACACACACACACACACACTGTTGAAGTAAGGGAATGTGCATACGCAGTAGTCTCTCCTATCTAGGGTATGCTTTGACTATACAGTTTGTTTTTTTTTTATTCTAAGCTGATGAATTTTTTATTATACTTTTATTATAAGTACATCCTGTCTCTCCCTAATGAGCCTGAATTTCTGAATATAAGCACTGTGTCTTCCCCTGCTTTCTATCTCTTATGTGCCGAGCACACAGGGGCCCGGATACATTCATGTTGGGTCACCGCAGGGCAGCTGTGCCGAGAGACTGTAATTGCTTTATTCCTTGTCAACTGAAATGTGTACTGTCAAGTTTACAGAGCTTTTTTTCCCCCTTAACTAGATAAATGTGGAGATGTCATTAATAACCATGTATTCACTTCTTAGGCATGAAGGAAATGATCCAGAATACTAGATGAACAAATTATAAATGGATGAAATTTTCGCACCACCGTCTCAGCATCAGATATTATCCATTGCTTGTGGGAGATGGCCTCCTCTTAGGTCAGAAATGGGGGACTCCAATGGGATATGAACACACTCTTTGGCCCTTTCTTTTTCCTCCCCTCTAAAAGCAAAACATACCTCCAAGGTGGTTACAGATTCCCTAGAAGACACGTGGTACCCCTCACCTGAGGTTTTCTAAATGTTACTTAGAAAACACTCATATTTTGTTTTATAGTATTAATAAACTCAGGTTGTTTGGTATGAGCTAGCCCGAGCTGAGATAATTAGTTAAAGTTAGCATTGGTTTTAGACACACACAGATGACATTTGGAGATGGGGATCAGTTGCTAGTTTCCCTGTATATTTATTCTGCAGCTTCAGATCAAGCAGAGGTTAGAAGGCTTTTTTTTTTTTTTTTTTTTTTTTTTAAGATGGTTCTCATTATGTAGCCCAGGCTCCCTCACAGAGCTCCCTCTGCCTCCAGAGTGCTGGGATTAAAAGCCCCATGGGAAGTTAGAAGACTTGTATTTGAATCCTTGCTCTCAAATCTTAGTTCTCTAAGCTTCCTGCTTCATTAATGTGAGAGGTAATATGTATTCTCTACCCACCTGAGGATTTAACAAAGTAATATTATGCATGAAAATATTCTATGAAATAACACACAAAAGTCTGGTATATGGTTTTAACAATAAACATTTCCTATCTTGGATCCACGAAAGGTCTCTTTGGGGCTGGCAAGATGGTGTAATGGGTAAAAGTCCTTGCTGTGCAAGCCTGATGATCTGAGTTCGATCCCCTGAGCCCACAGTGTAAAGAGAAAGCTACTGTCTCCACAAATTTGCCCCCTGACCTCCACAGACATGCATCCTTACCAATGCACACAATAGGTAATAAAATAAAATCTCTTTCTCTGTCTCTGTCTCTGTTTCTGTGTATGTGTCTCTCTGTGTGTGTCTCTCTCTGTCTCTGTTTCTCTCTCTGTCTCTGTCTGTCTGTCTGTCTCTCTCTCTCTCTCTCTCTCTCTCTCTCACACACACACACACACACACACATACCCCTTAATCCTACAATGAAAGAATCTCATTATTTATTAGGTTAATTTTATTCTGTTAGGGTCCAGTTAGAACATGCCATCACGAATACTATGTGAATAAGGTCCAAACATGTTAACACAATGGTTGCCCATTAATAGATATAAAATTTGTGGTTTAATAAGAGGCCACTGGTGATGTTTTTAGGTTCTAAGGTATTTATGTGCTTCTTCACATTCTGATTTAGAGAGGTCTGAACTTGTTCTATTTTAAAAAAAAGCAGATAAGTGATAATTTCTTTGTGTTTTATTTTTAACTTGAAAAGTCCTTATCATCATGATTATTATGCTAGAAGATTTTGTAGTTCTTACATGAGAGCTGCTGTAGTATATATTGAACAGCTCGGAGTTGATGGGGATCCCTGGCTTTGACAGTGGATCTCGTAACACTTTTTATCCTTAGGTAATGTGTATATGAGGGGAAGGCAAGTTGGTAATTTCACCCTTAATTTAGAAATGGAGTGAGTTCTGGTTTCATAGCTTATGGTTCCTTTAGTTGCTGATTCGCTGCATGGTCCAGGAATGTGAGGCTGGCTTTGTACTACCTGGCTGCCTAGGTCTGTCTGAGAGCATAATTACACTTCCTAACCTGAAAGGCCTGAAGTGAGCAGGTAATAGATGTAAAGACGGTGAATTTTCTCCAGTCACCTGAGTTAGACATTAGAATCACTAAGTCATGCTGAAGAGCAGTGAAAGAGCCAAAGAATATCACAGATAGGCACATGACTCCTCCACCCGTCCCTGTAGCCACTTCCCAGCGAACAGCAGCAGCTGCAGGGAAGATAGACCCTTCTGAGATCTCTTACACCCACCCAATAACACACGCCTCCCCTGGCGTTCTGATCCTGCCTTTACTTGTTCACATGCAGCACTGGACAAATGAATGGTCCTGTTTCCTGTCTCATCTGCAAATGGGCATTGTAATAGCACCTACAGCATTATGGGGGCAGTTCTCTGGATTTGGGTAACATGTGAAATATCAGACAGAGCTGAAACCTGTACTATATAAAAATTAAGCAATATTAATATTAGTATTTTTCTTCTACAATTTAGTTTATGGTTCTCTTCGGGGTCATTGAATATGACCTATTGCTAGTATAGAGAGTTGAATTTTCCACATGTTTTGAAACATTCTACTAGCGCCTGTAAAATCCATTAACTTCTGAAATGATCTGCATTGCTGTTAACATGAATGAAATTGTGCAGTGGGGACAGAATGTAATAGTATTTTTCTGTCAGAGCCAGCAGTGACCCTGATGCAGTCTGACTTGTGTGAGTGAGCAAGTTAGTACAAATATAAACACTAGTCACTTAGATAAAAAATAACCTGACACTTCCCCTCCCCGCCGCCAGGTCATCATGGTCTTCCTGGCCAATGGATGGAAGAGAGAACATGAGTAGACACATGTTATGTATTTGAGACCATGAACATGACTAAACCCTTTTACATAGGGAAGCTATGTTATGGAATATGGGGTGAATGATAGGTGTCTGTGGTATTTAATTAATCCTTTGCGAGGTTTTCGCTGTTTGGTTTTTCTCTTTTCCTTTTTCTTTTTCTTATTTTATTTTATTGGAGACAGGGTCTCACTATATAGCCCTGGTTGGCCTTGGAACTCACTCTGTAGACCAGGCTGGCCTCATACTCACAGAGATCCACCTGCCTCTGCCTCCTGAGTGCTGGGATTAAGGTGTGTGCCACCATGCCTGGCTCTTCACTAGATCTGGATGCCTGTTGTTCAAGTTATGGCATTAATTTTATTGTTGGCTGTTTTATCTTAGTTGCCTTTAAAAATCCGTAGTTAATCAGGTATATCGGATAACTCATAGACTCAACCCCTATATGACTGTTCAGTTTTGGTTGTATTGCATGGAAATTTGTTTTTATGGATCCTTTTTAAAGCTATCTCTTGGTATCAAGGTCCTTTCCTCTGCTTCTGGTGTCATTTCTGATTTGCCGCCTGGTCTGTGGAGCTCATGCTTGCTAGAGCTGTTTTTGACGATCTGAGGGAAATTGCTTCTTTGCTGTAAGCCCTGCTACACGTAGGCGGTTCCATAGTCCAGCAGCATCCACGCCGGGTTTTTTTTTTTTTTTTTAAGAAATGCAGACTCTCGAGTCTTCCTCCAGCCTGGCTGAGTGAGAATCTGCATTTTAAGATCCCAGGTTATTTGTGTGAACTTGCGAAGCCTCATCTAGCTGCTTGCCTTTGTGTTAATTTCTCTATTTAGAGATCTTCTCTAGCTTACAAATTGTGCTTGCTGTGTTCTGGGTCATATAGCATGTCAAAATATTTTGTCTTTAGAGATGTAGGACATAATTGCAGTGTCTAGAAATGTTTTAATGTTTGTTAATAGGTTTAATTGGGGAAATTTTTCTTTTCTCTCTGCTAGGACATTCCTGGAGATCTTAGAAGCAGTTCTACCATGGAATCCATCTCTATGATGGGAAGCCCCAAGAGCCTGGAGACTTTTTTGCCTAACGGCATAAATGGTATCAAAGATGCAAGGAAAGTCACTGTGGGCGTGATAGGAAGTGGGGATTTTGCCAAGTCTCTGACCATTCGGCTTATTAGATGTGGCTATCATGTGGTCATAGGAAGCAGAAATCCCAAGTTTGCATCTGAATTTTTTCCTCATGTGGTAGATGTCACCCACCATGAAGATGCTTTAACAAAAACAAATATAATATTCGTGGCTATCCACAGAGAACATTACACCTCCCTGTGGGACCTGAGACATCTGCTTGTGGGCAAAATCCTGATTGATGTGAGCAACAACATGAAGGTGAACCAGTACCCAGAATCCAACGCCGAGTATCTGGCTTCGCTGTTCCCGGATTCCTTGATTGTCAAAGGATTTAACGTTATCTCAGCTTGGGCACTTCAGTTAGGCCCCAAGGATGCCAGCCGCCAGGTATGTGTGGCCTTAAATTTTATTATATGTCTGGTATTTTGTAGTCAAGTAAACCAGGTTCGAACGCACTTAAATGATTGTTTGAAAACTATGTAAGGTCACGTGACAACCACATTCCAACCTTGTAAAAGCATGTTTCTCTTCCCAAAAAAATGGTGGAAACTTGATAAAATGACGGATTTTTTCCGTAATAACCAGTTAATTAAAGAAAGGGTGGTGTTAGCTGATGTCTCATATGACCGTTACATTAATCCTCCAGAAGTTTTAAAAGCTGTAACATGTTCTTATTTTCCCCTCTTTCTGCCCCTCCTCCCCCCTCCCCCTTTCTGCCTTTGCTGTTTGGTAATACAGTATTCCATCTCCGGATGAAATAGGACTTCGTAGAACTCATAAGAATCCTAAAGAATAACCTTCGTGTTTTTCATAGATTAAGTTCTTATGGCATATGAAAAGTAAAGTCTGTTCTAAGCATGGAGCTCAGGCCGTGGGGCAGGTAGGCAGAGGTAGACCGGGCTTTTCAGATTCACTCTCAGAGTACAAGGCTCGAGATCACACTAGGGGTCACTCTTCACGGAGTCCACTTTGTGAAGGAAGTGGATGGCAGGTTCTGTAATGCTTCTGGAATGAGAACATCTATAAGAAAACACATAAGGAGGCCACTTTAGAGGCCCTTCAGAGCTGTGCTTAGGTCTTAAATCTGAGGGCTGTGGTAAAAGGACCTTCTCCTTTCTGCTCACAGAGACGGTTAATTATGGGGCTGGAGAGATGGCTGAGCAGTGAAGAGCAGATACTCTTCTTGCAGAGGGCAGGTGCTTGGTCCTCAGCAGCCGTACTGGGTGGCTCACAACTGCTTGTAGCTCCAACTCCAGGCCTCTGAGAGCACCTGCCCTCATGTGCACAAACTCACATTTATTATAGAGTGCGCTATCATTTTATTCTGTGTCAGGGTCATGAACTCTATATTGAGGACTTGCCATCACTGCGACACAAGTGCCTGGACTTGAGGGAAAAAGAGTGACTTTGCTCACAGTTCCAGCGGGTGTGGTCCACCATGACAGGGAAGATGATGGAGGAGAGCCACTCATGTCATGGGGCCGACAGCAGAGAAAGGGCGGACCCCATCCTGCTGGCTTTCTCCTTTCTCTTCATTTATTCATCCTGGACCCCAGCCCACAGGACGGTTAGCCCACCTTCACCGTGAATCTCTTCCTTCCTGCACTGCAGATGCCCTCAGACACATCTAAAAGTGTGCCTGACCTTGCCTTAGGTGGTTTCACATTCAAGCACAAGACAAGATTGGCCGACACAGGAACCACTCACTCCAAGTCTGCCCCCCTCTCTCTCTCTCCTTACGCCCTCTTGCTTTCAGTTTTTTGAGGCAGTCTTACACTTGAGTCCACACTGGCCTCAACCTTGTGGCAGTCTCCAAAGACTGGGATTACAGGCATAAGCCACCTCACCTGGCTCAAGTATTAAAACAGTGCAAGCTTTCCCCACCTCTGTGTCAGAGACCAGACCAGGGCAAGTCAGGCAAGCGCCTGATCATGAGCCGCACTCCAGCGGCTAGAGACAGTTCTTCCTTTCTTTTTTAAGAAAACATGTCCCATAAAATTGGCAAATTTGAGCCAGGGCCTATGAGACAAAGTTGACATAATCCTTTGCTCATATTCATGATCATTTTAATTTTTAATGGAAAAAAACCCTTCATGGAACAGTGATTAAATTCAAATTCAAAATGAGCTACAAGCTCCATCATGACAAGAGCCATTTAATTGGTACTTCATCATGCTTGAATGATGAACATTCATCAGCTTTGAATGTTTCACTTATAGTTCTAGATTTATTATATGTTATCATTTATAGGCTTTTCTCCATATACAGAAAAAGGGTTTACTATAATATGTTATCATTGATAGGCTTTTCTCCATATACGAAAAAAGGGTTTATTATAATATGTTATTATTTATAGGCTTTTCTCCATATAAGAAAAAAGAGTCTATCATAATCTGTTATCATTTATAGGCTTTTCTCCATATACAAAAAAAGGGCTTACTATAATATGTTATCATTGATAGGCTTTTCTCCATATATGGAAAAAAGGGTTTATTATAATATGTTATCATTTATAGGCTTTTCTCCATATACAAAAAAAAGGGTTTACTATAATATGTTATCATTGATAGGCTTTTCTCCATATAAGAAAAGAGTCTATTATAATATGTTATCATTTATAGGCTTTTCTCCATATACGAAAAAAAAAAGGGTTTACTATAATATGTTATCATTGATAGGCTTTTCTCCATATAAGAAAAAGGGGTCTATATAATGTTATTATTTATAGACTTTTCTCCAAATAAGAAAAAAAAAATTTGCTCCACTACTTCACACCTGCAATAAATTAATACCAATGCTTTCCTTATTTCTTTGCTACAAAAGGATTCCTATTTTAGAAATCCATATTTGTTTAATAGCACAGAGTTTATGATTCATAAAGCTGGCTGCCATCAGCTGAGAGTCAAAACCTGAAAGCTGAACGCTGTCTTGTCCCCTCTGTGTAAGTAAGTTTAGCATGCCAACAGTGCAGTGTGGCCTCTTTCAGGGCCTGTGCACAAACGTCTTCGGGGATATATTTGGGAATTTGTTTTCCTCAAACAGCACTAGAGACTTTGTACCAATATTTTTCTAGCCCTGAATGAGATGATCTTCCTATTCATAGTAGTAGCTCACTCCAGCAGTGAGCTGGAGGTTCAACAGGTACTTGTTGAATTTTCGACTATATTATAGCATCAAAGGGGTTTAAAGCCTCCTCACCCTACCTATGCCATCACTGGAGTTCCTATAGAGATGATAGATTTAGTCTCAGAAAATGGCAGTTCCATTCTGTTTAAGTTAATAGCCTTACAGAATCATCGTTTTACTTGTGAAGAATATAATTATCAAAAAAAATGAAGAAATTTTATATGCTCACCAGTGAAACAGTGTACCTGGAATTATTTAAGTGTTTTACAGATACATAATGAATTGGCATCTAAACGTAAAGATAAAGTGTATAAGGAGTCTGGCATCATGACACCGTTTGTACATTTTATCTGACAAGGCCACCACCTGGAGTCCGTGCCCATCTGCACTCTTGCTGGACAGCTCTGAGGGGCAGGGCTTTCCATCATTCTCGTAGGCAGAATCTCTACATTCCTACAACTAAAAGTTGCCCATAGAAGCAAAGATATCCAGCCTCACCCTTAGAAAGCTGGGCTGGGAGGAAATGGCCCCAGAGACCTCTGGGAGGGAGTGCCTTCACTTGCAGCTGCTGCGGACCCGGGTGCCCTACAAAAGCATACCTCTCTTCCAGCAGCCTCCTTCTCATGTGAACCTCTCCGAGCCTTCCAGATTTGCAGCTGGATTCTCTTCACGTTATTTTCTTCGTAGGGGGCAAAGACCCTTTTGTTTTTATTGCACTATTTTAAGTCTGTTTTAAGATACTAGTAAATCTTACCATAGTGTGATACTTTTGATTGATTAATCCATGGTTAAGATACTGTTTTAAAACTGTTAATAATGCCTATGGTAGGATTTACTGTAAGTCTGTTTAATAACTTGCAGTTAATAATCACTTTTTCTCATCTTCATGCACTGTTATCACTGGAAGTCATTAAACAATGCACCACAGGTTCAGTACAATTTGTGACTGATGGTTGGACTTTTATGCACCGGCGTGGTAACAAGCCTTCTGTTTTTCCTTACAGGTTTATATATGTAGCAACAATATCCAAGCTCGACAACAGGTTATTGAGCTTGCCCGTCAGTTGAATTTTATTCCTGTGGACGTGGGATCCTTATCGTCTGCCAAGGAGATTGAAAATTTACCCCTGCGACTGTTCACTCTCTGGAGGGGGCCAGTGGTAGGAGCTATAAGCTTGGCCACATTTTTCTTCCTTTATTCCTTTGTCAGAGATGTGATACATCCATATGCCAGAAACCAGCAGAGTGACTTTTACAAGATTCCTATTGAGATTGTGAACAAAACCTTGCCTATAGTGGCCATTACTCTGCTGTCCCTGGTGTACCTGGCGGGCCTCCTGGCGGCGGCGTATCAGCTTCGTTATGGCACCAAGTACCGCAGATTTCCACCTTGGCTGGACACCTGGTTACAGTGCAGGAAACAGCTGGGCCTGTTGAGCTTTTTCTTCGCTGTGGTCCATGTTGCCTACAGCCTCTGCTTACCGATGAGGAGGTCAGAAAGATACTTGTTTCTCAACTTGGCTTATCAACAGGTACTGAACGCGCTTGTTATTCATCTGGCTCTCGTGGCATGTCATGGCAGGAACTGTAAAATCGGAGTTACAACAGCATAAATTGATATATACTTCACAATGGCATTTTTCCTGGGGTACACTGAGGGAGCGGAAGTACTGTTTCTGTTTTATTTTTTTTTTAAGACAGGGTCTCTATGTATCAGCATATGCTGCTCTTCTGCATAGCTGTGCAGATATTAGAGAGGAATATGGTTTTTTTTTTTGGGGGGGGGGGCTTGTTTTGTTTGAGACAGGGTCTCACTGTGCAGCCCTCACTGGCCTGGAGGTTTCCACGTAAAGCAGGTTGGCCTCGAACTTGAAGAGACCTGCTGCCTCTGCCCTCTTGAGTGCTAGGTTTAAAGGCATGTGCCACCACACCCAGTGGACAGGAATTTAGCCAGAGCTTTTTCAACATAGGAGCCCAAGAGCTCTTTTGGGTTGTTGGTAGCAGTGGCTTTATTTATTTATTTTTTTAATTTAAGTCTGTTTGTTCACTGAAACTGGACAAAGTTAAGATGGTATTAAGACTGTGCTTTTCTCTGCCAGCAGATATATACTTAAGTCCAATTTTCAGCTGAATTTTCTTAACTTACGCTCCAATTATATTGTTTGTAGATAAACAGATAATACTAGAAGTATTCAGTATGCAGATTACCATAAATTCACAGTTAAGTCAGACTGGATTAATATGCAATAGTGATACAAAGGAAGGATTTTTAGAAAAATATTGCAAAAGAATGAAACCGGAGCTGGGAAGGTATATTAGGGAGTCATTCAAGTGGGCAGATATTTCAGCTCCACAGAAGCTTATCCCGAGGAAAGTTTGGTTTCCAGGAAAGAAAGGTTAAGAAGAAAGTGGAATCGCCCCTGGGTGAGGACGAAGGGAGCTTAGAAGTCCAAGTTAAACTTGTAGAACATACCCCAAACATTCAGCCACAGTTATAGGAACCTGTAGAAGCACCTCGGATCCGAGTCTGACTACAAATGCTTCTTTTCTGTCCCGTGAGAACTAGTCAGTTGGCGTTCCTCGGTCTAGGGCGTTCCTCGGTCTAGGACTCGGGGCCTCTGCAGTAGTGACTCACTGTGGACATGATGGCATAGGCTTGTCCCCTCTTTACAGGACAGAAAAGGAGGGTGCATTAGTCCTGTTTCAATTTAACATTCTCTCTTTTCTCTACATCTGGAATAATACTAAGTACAGGTTCTCCACAATGGCTCATTATACTGAATTAATACTCCTTAATTAATACATTTTAAACATGATCATAAATGGCCTGGCTCTTCTTAGGCCAAGAGTAAACGGTGTGTAGAATCAGCTAACGTTCTCTGAAGTAAAGGAAATTCACATTTGTTTTTTTGTTTTGTTTTGTTTGTTAGGTTCATGCAAATATTGAAAATGCTTGGAATGAGGAAGAGGTTTGGAGAATCGAAATGTACATCTCCTTTGGCATCATGAGCCTGGGCTTACTGTCTCTCCTGGCAGTCACTTCAATCCCTTCGGTGAGCAATGCTCTAAACTGGAGGGAATTCAGCTTTATTCAGGTATGTGGGGTTTGGTTTGGTAACACATCGGACAGCATAGAATTTCATTGTTAAGTTCGATGTTAAATATGTTCCATCTGAAAAGAGTGCCTTTGAGGCCGTGGTCACACATCCAGTTCAGGCAGCACATGAGGCTGGAGGCCGGATTCCAGCCACTCTGGCTGGTAAAGGAAAGGCCATTAGAAGGCAATCATGGTAACGCCTGTGATGTTGTGGAATAAAAGGGGAGGAGTGGGCTTAGGTCAGATGTGATGTTGAAAGTCAATTCACTTTGACTTTTTAAAAAAGATTTACTTTCACAAGCACTTTGCTCACGTGTTCATCTGTGTACCATGTACATGTCTGGTGCTCACAGAGGGCAGAAGAAGGTGTCAGATCCGATGGAACTGAAGTTTTGGACCAGTTGTGCACCACCATGTGGGTGTTAATCAAACCAGGTCCTCTGCAAGAGCAAGTGCTCTTAACCACAGAGCCATCTTTCCAGCCCCCAAAAGTCAGATGATGATGATGATGATGATGATGATGATGATGATGATGATTATTTTGGTTTTTTTGAGACAGGGTTTCTCTGTGTAGCTTTGGAGCCCGTCCTGGAACTCACTCTGTAGCCCAGGCTGGCCTCGAACTCACAAAGATCCACCTGCCTCTGCCCCCTGAGTGCTGGGATTAAAGGCGTGTGCCACCACCGCCCGGCAAAAGTCAGTTTATTATTAGTCAGATGAACTCACATGCACACACCAGTCACAAGCACTGTCCAGCGAGGTCACTATGCTAATGGGTTGTGACAACCAACTGCATTTGTGAATCTTGTTAATGTATTTTACTTTGTCAGTCATAAACCAATGCACAGGAGTACCAGTAAAGAAATCAAAGAATACTTGTGTTCTTTAAAAAGTTAAATGTTCGCTGGGCGGTGGTGGCACACGCCTTTAATCCCAGCACTCGGGAGGCAGAGGCCGGCGGATCTCTGTGAGTTCGAGGCCAGCCTGGTCTACAAAGCGAGTTCCAGGAAAGCCGCAAAGCTACACAGAGAAACCCTGTCTCGAAAAAACCAAAAAAAAAAAAAGTTAAATGGTCACCTCCATTAATATCTGTATAAACATATTTACATACTTTAAATATATATTAAATTTGGATTCTAGTTATATGGTCACAATCTATATTTCCTGATCCAAATGGTATACAGCACAATATATACAATATATATAGTAGAATCCTTTGATAGTGTATTGTCTTATTTTATTCCTTGCTTGGTGACTTTTTTTTCCCTGGAGGAGCAGGGAGGTGTTATGACAGGGTTTCTCTGTGCAGCCTTGGCCATCCTGGAACTCACTCTGTAGACCAGGCTGGCCTCAAACTCATAGAGATCTACCTGCCTCTGCCTCCCCAGTGCTGGGAGGTGTACATCCTCATGCCTGGCTGCTTGAGGACATTTTTAAATAATATTTTTATATATTTGAAAGTGCCATACATGTATACAATGTCATTTTATTATATACACTCCTGCTACTTCCCTCCAACTCATCCCTTTTTTAAAGTCATGCAAAAATTTTATTGAAACGAAGGACAACCCTTGTCTAAATTCCTTTTCTCCATTTGAAGAGAGGGGGATGGGAATACTTTCCCAACTACGAGTTTATCACGCCAGAAAGGAAACAGAAGGCTTTCTGATAGAAGGTTCTAGACAGACACCCATCATCCTAACGTTAGCCGACTAATTGCCTTCTAGAGAGCCGACATTTTCCTAGTGAATGTAGACATTACATCACTATACTAATGTGCTATTACTTTTATGTAATATAAACTAGTTGACATTTAAGTAACCTTAAATGTAGGGAATTGGGGAGCTGAAAACAGTAACCTTTTAACCTATAAAATAACTGACTAAAATATTTTTAGTCATCTCACTCAGTTGGTCAGTAACCACGTTTGAATTGTTTCTTATATTACATATTAATACTCTAAGTTTTATAATATTTTCTTATTAAGTAGTGTCTATGTGTGTTATATATACTCAAAAGATCACTCTTTGAGCGGAGCGGTGGTGGCTCACGCCTTTAATCCCAGCACTTGGGAGGCAGAGACAGGCGGATCTTTGTGAGTTCAAGGCCAGCCTGGACTACCGAGTAGTTCCAGGAAAGGCTCCAAAGCTACACAGAGAAACCCTGTCTCAAAAAACCAAAATAAAAATAAAAATAAAAAGATTACTCTTTGGTATTTAATGTTGTATATGTTTTGTGCACATACCTACATACCTATAGACACCTATATATACACTGTTAAATGGTTGTTATACACAACATGCAGCAGTTTGGATAACTTTCACCACTATTTTGCCTATTTGTTGAGACAGAGTTTCACTATACAGCCTGGGCCGGCCTCAGACTCACAGTGTAGATCGGGCTGGCTTTGAATTTGCAGTCCTCTTCCCTTGTCCTCCCCAGTACTGGGATCACAGCCGTGTGCCATGGCAGTTGTACAACCGTTATAAAGCATATGGATGCCGTGCAGATCTAGACCATTAGAGAAAAGTGTAGAATCAGTCCTAAGGACATAAACAAAAATATAAAAGTGGTATTAATTATAGTTGAATAAATTTGCGATCAGAATGATCAACACAAAGGAGTGATTATACATACCCATTTAATAAAACATTGCACAACATTAATGATATGCTTTCATTTTTAATGGCATGGAAATGCTTGTGTTCTACTAAATTAACTAATGAGACTATTCAGCTTATGTGTTACGGCCTGATATGTGCAAGATTGGAGCACTGCAAATAAGTGTATATGAAATTCAGGAAACGGTCTTAAATTGCTTGATTCAGATGATAGTAGGTCAGTGACTTAAGATTAAACAGGAGCAGTGTATATGCATAGGCTGTTATGTGCCTGAGTGATGTATTTCCTTTTTCCCTCTCTCAAGTCCACGCTCGGCTACGTTGCTCTGCTCATCAGCACTTTCCACGTGTTAATTTACGGATGGAAACGCGCTTTTGCAGAGGAGTACTACCGCTTTTACACCCCACCCAACTTCGTCCTTGCACTTGTCCTGCCCTCGATTGTCATTCTGGGTAAGACGATCTTACTCCTCCCATGCATAAGCCGAAAGCTCAAAAGAATTAAAAAGGGCTGGGAAAGGAGCCAGTTTCTAGAGGAAGGCCTGGGAGGAACAGTCCCGCATCTGTCCCCAGAGAGGGTCACGGTGATGTGACGAAAAGAGATGCTCATGGTGCCATATACACTTCTCTCATGCCATCGCTTCACGACTCCCTCCACGCTCCCAGTAAGTGGACTGTCAGTGTGCTGTAGTGTGAAACCTGGCAGTGAGATTTCAGCTGAAATAGTGATAGGATTTTCTTCAAGTTCAATTTTATAAATGTCATATTTTGCCAACATGAGATTTTGTAGCCCACGTGTGTTGTTACAATCTAGGAATATTTTCTTTTGTGCAACTGTAACAGTATTGCTATTTTAACTATATTGCATAATCAGGCAGAAATATCTGTAGTTGATAATATAGAGCGTTTAGAACACTTGGCAAACCAGCAGGATTTGAAGCTTTTAATGTTACTCAGTGGATATACTTTTTCTTTGAGGCTAAAGATTTTAATTATTACCCAGTTTAAGAAGCAGAAATGCATAATTATGTATTATTGAGGAGGGACACAATGTATTAGCATCTAGGGTGCACAGGAGCAATCTTATACCGTCATAAAATGGGACTGGAAAAATAGCATTAATTATACAAAGCAGTGTGAGTGTATGAGCACACACAAATTACAGACGAACCTGAAATCGTATTTAAAATGCACTGGAGATATGAAATGAATACTGCTAACGCACAACTCATGAGAGCTTTATTTTCTTATGTTACAGAGCAGTTTCTTTTCATATTCATGTCAATCAGGGAAAGGACTCCATGACTAGGCCGCTCGGGCTGTTATTTTGAATATAGTTCTACAATACCAACCCCAGGAATTGTAGAACTGTCCGTAATGTCTGCACACGGTCCCATGTCAGGTCGTGTTTGTTACTCTGGCCAGCCACCACTCTTCCTGAGTGGGATTTTACTGATGTCCACTGAGGGAATGTGGCCTGGCTCTCAACACTTGTCCCATTTAATATTTACAACAGACCCATGAAATAGTTATCTTCATTTTACATGTAGGGAAACTGGAGGATAGAAAAGCTAAATTTGCCTAAGGTCACACTGGGAAGAGGTAGCAGGGTGAGCAGTCATGGCCAGGTAGTCATCCTTCAGAAGCCGTCGTTTTTATGAAACATCAGGATATACCACCCCTGCCCCATCTCCAGGCACTACATTCATGATGTCAGTCTGGATGTTTTCTCTCTTGTATAGCCATTGACAGTCTTTAGAGTACATTTTGTGCATCAAAGGATGTATAGAAGTATCTTAATCATAATTTTATTATTCCTGGAGCCCACAATAGCACAGTGCCTCCCTGTGCAGTGAAGGACTGAGCAGGGAGAGAGTCAGAGCAGTACAGATGAACTGTTGAGATCCTGCAGCTCTTCAGAAATTCCCACCAGCTGGCCATGTCCTCTGCTCTTCCTGGGAAACCCTCCTGCTTCACTACCATTCATTAGGAAGCTGTTTATAAGCACGGAGGAGAATAGGACAAGTGGCTAGTTATAGATCTACTCCAGAGACATATAATCATGGAGATTATTCATACAATTTCTCAGTGCTGGTAGTCCACGTGTAAATTGTATTTTGTTCAAACTTTGGGATATACTGTGTTTTCTCCATTTGTTCCTTATTATAGTACAAAGTTATAGATAAGATGTAATTATATGTGTTCTTCAGAAAACTATATCATTTTTAAAGTTACCTACTGACTCGAATCCAACCATCAAAAATAAAATGACTCTTATTTTTGTGGAACCTGTCTTTCCCACCAGTGTCTTTTTCTGTTCCTGCACTGTTAGTCTGGAAAATTACCCACTATTCTTTGATGATTTCTTGGTGAACTGTAATATTGAACACCCTATTTTCATTATATTGATCATAATCATGAATTCTTAGTAGGAACACATATAGTGATGGCTTTTTAACAGTAATTACCTACAAGCTGGGTGTGATGGCGCACACCCTTAATCTCAGCACTCAGGAGGGAGACGCAGGCGGATCTCTTGTGAGTTAGAGGCCAGCCTGGGCTACAGAGTGAGTTCCAGGACATCCAGACCTATAGTGAGACTGTGTCTAAGTAGATACCTACATACACACATACCAATACTGTCATGAATTAGTGAAAATAGCAATGTGTTTTCAATACTTGCTTACTTCTTAAACTTCATTCTAAGACAATTTAATGTGAAAATACAATGAAGTATTTCTAAAAGTTAGATGATTAAAGTACATTGTTATATATGTTAAGTTGCCCATAATATAAAGTTACTGCTATTATACATACATGGGATCCTTGGAAATATAAAATTATGTAAAAACTACAATTATATTTCAAATGACACTTTTTCTTTGGAATGCTACAAAAATGGAATAATTTTAGTTTTAGAGTAAATGTAATATAGTCATTACAATTCTAAATGTTGCAAGTCCCCTCTCACAATGCATATCTATTTATTGACTTTCAGTGGGCACAGACACCTCTAGACAAGCCTGATGAACTGAGGCTGTCCCAGGGATGATGTGTTCTCTCCTCCCTCTCCGTCTCTCTGTCTCTCTCCCTCTCCCTCTCCCTCTCCCTCTCCTTCCCTCTCTTTCTTTCTCTCTCTCTCACACACACACACAAAATAAATGAAATACAATTAAAATTTTTTTAGGGGTGAGGGAGGGTAGGGAAGATTTTTAGAGAAGAGTGAAAATTTGTTTATTAATTTATGTTTTGAAAAGGATGAATGAGAAAATGATAGGAATGTAGAAAACATAATCTGTCTTAATCCTTTGTAAAGACAGCCACATAATTTTTCCTATGAGGAAAAAAACCCATATAACATGTATCATGCTACTTAGCTTTTGTGAAGAGTTCATGTCTCCTTTATTAGGAATATTTAAAACCACATTTAAATATAAATATATTCATATTAACATCTTTTTAAAGAAGATATGCTAAAATTTAGCTCAGATAACCTACATGAGATTTTTATTTAAATTTTAAAACATTATAAAGTATGAATAAATTATCATTACTTATCAGAGCTAATTATTTTGTATAATACAGAGAGTGGCTGATGAGTTCATGTTAAACTTCCTGATTATTTTCTTAAACATCAGCATAACTTCAAATTGACTGAAAAATTTTACTTTCAAAATTAATTTGATAATGATAAAAATATGTTCCTACTTTGTCAAATTATGAAAATTATTTTTTAAAGGGGATTCAAGAATATATTTAACCCAATCCACATAGTGACTTCCAGGCCAGGGCTATGTAAAGAGACCCTGTCTCAAAACATATTTTTTTTCCAGCTTTTTCTATTATTCATTTCTTATGTAATATGACAAAAGTTTTAATTTAAATTTTTATGCCATTAAGCTATTTAGTAATATATTCTATAATGTTCCCTCTCAAAATGAGGTTTATTTATAAAATTTAAGTATTTCACATGGCATTTAAAATATAAGTACTATAAATGTAATTTGGAACTGTACTGTAAACTAATTATACCTGTATCAGTCTATAAAATCCTGCTTTGAAATGTGCAAGCAGAATAAAATAGAAATTGTTTTGTAAATTGAGGACAAAGCAATGTCACACGTAGTGTAACGTACCTCAGTCCAGTGTTACGGCTCTGTGTGATGTCAGGAAAATGAGTTGCTGGACCTGCACTGTGCAGAACTGAGTAGGGCAAATTCTGGCATATGTTCAGTCTTGGTAATTACCTAAAATGAAGTGCAGCGATTTTAGGGGACATTGTCTGTTCTTCTGAACTTCACAGGAGTGAACGGGTTCTTCAACACTTTTGAGTGTGACAAGATGATAAAGTGCTTAATTTTTGGGTTCTAGCCATATGATACTAAAACAGTGTTTCTCTTTAGCTTAACGTGCATACTAGAGATTGTTGGGCTGTTTTTTAAGTTTACAAATCACTAAATCTCCACTGTGCACAGATCTGCAATGAAGACAGACCAGGAGACTTCCCAGTAGCTTAGGGACGCTCCTGGTAGCTAGATGAGCTGAGGTAACTCACAAAAGCAGGTGCTTTATGGAATTATTTTCACAGAGATTTCCTTCCAAGGTTTTCCACAGTTGTGCAGGTTTTCATCCTTCACAGTCTGCTCTCCTCACTCCTGAGCTGCTGAGGACTGCTGTTCACCCCTCTTGGAGCGAGGTGTCCTTGTGACTGGTCTCTGACTGACTGAGAGGTATCCCTGTGATGAGTGCTGGCCTCTGAGGACTACTCTAAGGAAAGTGGCATGTGTTCTTTATGGGCCCTTCTGTCTGGCTAATGAGGTTGTGGATAAACATCTGTCCCCAGAGGGTCAAGACAACACTCCGAGGCAGAATCGAGGCTACTAGAAAACAGACAAGTCCCTGCTTCTTCCTGTGTTTAAACAGTTACAACTGAATTTCTGTGTTCTGTGAAATCTAAGTTGTGTCCTTTCCAGTTCTTTGTGACAGTGTTCATTTAGCATTCTTGAATAGGTTAGACTGTAATAATTCTTACTTTTAAAAGATTTTAAAGGATAATACACAATTTACATTAAAATTAATATTCTATTATTAATTAATTATACTTGGTTTTTGCCTTTATCATTAGCTATTTTGTATTGGTGTGTATCATTTTCTTTGTACAAAATGTCCTTGTGTGTATTCATTTTTGCTAAAGGCTTTGTCCTGTAAAATATTGTTAACAAATTGTACACCATGATTTTATGTCATTCTCCTAGATCTGCCTTATAAACATTTCAATAAAAAGTATTATTTAATGTTTTAATTTTGCTTTTTTAATCTTACTAGTTTGAATATTTGATGGAATTTATCTAATTTTGGGGTCGGTTTTTTTTTAACTTTTTACTTATTCTTTGTGTCTTTCACATCATGTCTCCCAAGCCTGCCTATCTCCCTCCCCTGCCAAAATAAAACAAAATTTAAGAGAAAAAAAAGGAAGAAGGGGGAAATCCCTTTATGGAAGCTGCAGTGTGACACAGTGAGTCACACAATAAACCCCTTTATCCATACGTTTTTACATGCAGTGGTTTATCACAAAGAATCATCGGTCGGGTTCGAGGTCCCTGGCTCAGCTGTACCATCAGCGCTGGGCCCTCACTGGGACACTTCCTGGACATCCTGTTGCTGCTTTGTATTGTGGAGATTCTGCAGCCCTGGGTCCACAGGGCTGACACCCACCTTACCCCCCACCCCTCTCCCCCCACCCCCGTGTTCCAGAAGATCACAGATGGGGTGGGCCAACATATAACCCAGGTTCTAAGCCAGGGTAGTTGCAGGGTTGGTCAGTCCTCCAGCTCTCCCCTGTCTGCGCCACCAGGGTGAGCTCTCCAGCGTTGCCCTGGCTAGTTCACCGCTTGCAGTGATGAGGGGCAGGTCTAGTTCTCCAGCTTTCAGGTTTCATGTCCTCAGGGTTGGTTCTCCCACACCTACACCTTCAGGGCCAGCTCTGCTGTGTTGTCCAGGTAAGGTGCGGGGGAGGGGGGGCGGGGCACTCTCCCAAGTGCTGCAGCTGATGAGGGCCGGGACAGCTCCCCCACCTACTTCAGCATTGATGGGTTTCGGTGCGGATCTCTCCACCCATGCATGCTGCCTTACGGCAGATGAGGGGAGGGGCTAGGTCTCCATGCTCGCGTGCTGAGGCTTGGCTCACCTGTGCTGTCAACAGGGTCAGCTCCACCGTGCTGCCCAGATGAGGTGCAAGGCCCGCTTTCCCGAGTGTTTCAGCTGGTAAAGGAGTCAGTTCCCTGGCCAACTGGAGGCGGGAGCGGGGAATCTGGGAGGACATCTCTCCCTCGCTCCCACCACCACAAAGCAGATGAGGGAGGCAGGACCAGCTATTGGTCCTTGATTTTAAAAAGATATCCAGAAAGCAATCCAACTGATAGTTTTGCTTGGGTATGGGACTGTTTTTACACAAGTAGTCATTTTTAAAAAAACCTCTATTTAATGAAGATTATTTCATTTCATTGAGCATTTTTAGACGAGGATACCTACAATATTTAAGCTATCCTGCAAGCCAGGAATATAGTGTTAGCTGTTACTAAGTGTCCAGTGTCTAATACAGTATGTTCCATGGCAGATAAAGAGACATGACTCATTTTTTAGAAAATTATGCTGTTCATCTCTTCTTTGACTATTTCTTCCTGCCCAGACCTCACGTCCCTCCCTATCACTGCCTCCCCTTCCTGGCTTCCCTCCTGGCCAGTGGCCCAGAGCTGCCCTGTCTCCCAGGAAGGAGTTGCTAGGGTGCTGCCACCCACTGCTTCATGATGAGTTCTATCCATGCAGCAGGTCCGGAGAAACTGACATCTGTGGATCTGCATGAAGATGCTTGAGTGTGTATCCTGACAGGATCACCAGAATAAAATTCTCAGTTAAATTTGAATTGCAGACAATAAATAACCATTTACTATTAATATTTTAAGTGTGGTATAAGTTTTACATGGCCCTTTTCCCCCCCTAATGTGTCAACCCAAATGAAGGGTAAAATTTGACCAAGTAGATACAACATGAAATTGAGCTAGTAGATATATTATCCATTCATTTCCTCCAGATGGAATGTTCCAAAGTACAATTCAGCAGACCTTCGTGGAAATAACCTACAAAACCAAGCAATTAACTATACATGTTCAAAAGCCATGACAAGTTTAGTAACATCTATTTTTCCCTTTCTCTGTCCAGGAATAACAGTCCCAAATAAAGTGATGATAACTGCTGTGTGTTTATGGACGGCTGAGGAAACACAGTAACACAGGTGGAATTGTTGAATGATGAAGTAGGAAATAAATGGGTTTTGCGGCTTTATGCATAAGACCCTGCAAACTCAAAATCCAGATGTGTTGAGAGATCCGATGGCAGATTCATACCGATCAAATGTATAGAGTAGATATTAAATTAGCACAGAAATTTACTGACACTCTGAAAAATATCAGTTCTACAGGTGATAATACCAACATGGCTTTAACTACACATAGCGTATTCTTTAGTCTGTCCATAAGAATTCAGATTTTAATTTAAAAGATGATGGGATTTATTATAGACTGAATTGTGTCATCCAAAATTTGTATGTTGAAGTCCTAACCCCCATTGCCTCAGAGTATAACTGTGTTTGAGATTGGCCTTTAAAGAGATAACTGGGGTGAGATCAAATGGGTGAGTCTTAATCCAGTATGACTGGCATCCTTTTGAGATTAGAATACAGGCGTGGACAGAGGGAAAACCATATGAAGAAAAGAGCAGGTCAAGAAGAAAAGTCTACACAAAACCTTGATCTTGATCTTCCGGTCTCCAGAACCGTAAGAAAATCTCTGTTTTACAGCCACCTGACCCATGACATTTGTTACTGCAGACTTCACGAACAAATACAAGGACCATGAAATCAAAACAAGTGAAATGATTCATACAGCTGGAGTAACTGATGTATAAACGTTCTGGTGAACCCTGCTTTGCAATAAAGACCTGTATCGTGTAATCACAATACATAGTTCATACTTGTAAATGCTCAGGATTTTTTTTCATTTTTCACAGTATCAAAAAACTAAAGATTGATCACTTACATCATTTGTCCAGTACACATGAACGGTTTCCCCAGCCTCTCCTTGCAGTCTAGATTACTGTTGATACAGTTTTTACTTGAATAACTGACGTCAGGGGTAGCCATTCCACTGGTCCTTCCTGTTCCTTGTCTTAGGCCTCAATCTCCATGAGTGGTCTGCCGAAGAGAGATGACTACTTTTTAGGCTTGCAACCACAAGCCGATCTGAAAGACTATTTAAAACTCAGAAGTAAATTAAATTCCAACTTGATACGTATTTCTTCTATTATAAATTTCCCCCAAGCTAACCCATTACATTAATAATATTTTGTATGCTATGAAATTTCTTTATTTAAAATAAACTACTCTATAACTGTCTCTATAAGTAATAATGTTTGTTTGAACATTTAGAGCATGCAGCATCAGGTTAAAGAGAATTAAATAATGTTTGTTTGAACATTGAGAGCATACAGCATTAGTTTAGAGAGAATTAAATAATGTTTGTGTGAACATTTGGAGCATACAGCATCAGTTTTGAGAGAATTAAATTCATATGTATTTTAAAGTACTTACAAAATGTTAATTCATGATGAATAATTGCAATTTTGCTAACTTGCTAATTAGGCAGGGTGCAAACAAAATCAGAAGAACTACATTGATATGATATTTTGTTTATTTAAGTATATACTTAACTTTCTTCACTACTTGTAAATGTACAAATTGTATGTAGATTGACATACTGAAACTCGTCTTACATCTACAAGTACTCCTAAGAAAATAATTCCTATCTTCATGGTGTCAAATTCTGCAGGATTGCCAACATATTGAAACATGTGTATTCTCTAAGTAGATCTTATTTCTCACATTTCTCTACTATTTACCTATTGTTGAAGTAATTGGACATCTCAATAGTCCTTTCATCCATCTGTGTCTGCATTATTATAAGAAAGGATCAATAATTAAAATTAAACCCACACACTTAAACAGTTGAAGTTCTTAAAAACTTAAATCTTGGTGCATTTCTGGGGATAAAATAAAACAAATATTGTCACTTAGACAATTGGCAAATAGAATAGTCCAAGCCAGTCTCCCCCCCCCCCCCCCCCGCCATTTTGAGATGTCTAAGATTGGTAAAACTACCCCAAAACAAAAATGATGAATACACACCATGAGCGTCTTAATTTTTTGTGTACATTTGTTAAAATGGGAATTCTGATTCAGTATTTACACCAGGAGGTCCAAAATTCTGTATTCCTGGCACGCCTCTATGAATCACCTACTCATGAAGCCCAAGGTACTCACTTTGAATAGCAAGGATCTAAAGAATGTTTACTTTGAATAATTGACAAAATGCTTTAATTTTACCTTAGATCAAAATCTAAAAGTAATGTTTAATCCTTGAAATTTTAAAGAACATTTATTGAGTAACTAGTATGCTCTTGACAGGACCAAAAGTGTGGTCTTTAGAGCAGAGGCATCAGCATCACCTGTGAACAAGCTATAAACACAAGCCCGAGCCACGTGAGGTGTTCACACCGTGCCTGCATCGCCAGCTGAGGACACATAGCTGCATCCTTTCTCAGCATTTCACAGGCATGAGTGGTTGGGTACAGATCTCAGTAAGATAATTGTCCTTGATTTTAAGAGTCTAAGTATCATAACATGGTTGGGCTGCTTTGAAAAAAAGCATACCACACAATATGGCACCCAACACAAGAGAAGAAATAAAGGTTTCCTCTCCAAAATCTTGTAAGCCCAGTTTCATGGGGAGTTAGCTTTCTGAAGATAGTGGTGTGTGTAGTTAATTCTCTACCCAGGTGATTGGGATGAAGTATACAACTTCCATCCCTGTTGCTTCTCAACCTGCCAATGAATAAAATATATGCCACCGTAGGGAAAAAAAAATTACAAAGTTGGACTGTTGATTTGCCAGGTGAGAGAACCCACCTGGCAAAGAATTTAATTTTTTTTCTCTGGTTGCAAAATTTGAACTTCTCACCCTAGGCCATACTAGGCATCCAACATCAGGGGTTCCAGCACTCCAGACAACCATTCTACTGCTTGAAAGCTTCCCGACACTGTGCGACGCCTCATTTGTTTGTCTAACTGTCAAGTTAGGCCACTGAAGTACAAGTGAGGCAAACCTGGGAATTTAGACTAAACTGACCAGTCCTATCACTGGAGAGGTAAGTGGTCAGCTTTCAACACCGTGCCAATCACATCCCTCCGAATGCATCCCACCTCCAGCTTTTATTCCTCCGCCCCACACAGGCCCTTATCAAGCAAGGGTGGTCTCCAGGAGACTGAAACTCTAGGTGCATACCGCGATCTGTCAGTGGTCTCCTTTGTCTCCCAGTCGCACACCCGCAGACCATCCTTGGGCAAAGTTTGGCTCTCCCAGCTTCCGTAGGCCCCGCCCCTAGCAACGCTCGGGCTTGTGTTAACAACTGGAGCGCGCCTGGCGTGTGGACCGTAGCAGCCGCGGGATGTCCGCGGCGTGGCGGAGGCGGGGGCCACGGCCCGACCTTCGGGGTCTTCCGTCTCCCTAGCTCGGGCCGCGCTGCGTGTTCTCCGGCAGGGCTCGTGGCACACCTAGGACCGCAGGCTCCCGCCCCCAGCCATGTCCACAGTGGAGGCTTCGGCCACGGCGGACGCCGTCGAGGCGGCCGTCAGGACCAAGACCTACAGTCCCCGCACGATCCCGGTGTTTGGGGTAGTGACCCAGCATGAGGATAGTCAGGTACCGCCGGGCTGCAGCAGGGGCGGGGAAGGGCGTGAGGCTCCGGGGCAACCGGGTGGAATCCAGGACCAGAGTGAGCCTGCGGGGACGGAGATGCGCGGAGCTGGTCCCTGGGGGGCGTGCGGCTGGCGATGGGGGGGCTGGATGTCGTCAGCCAGCCTGTCTGGGGACTCTGGCAGCGTGGTCCTCCTGGAGAGACTAACTCCTCTTTGAAGTATGGCCACGAAAGGAAGGAATCGCTCTTAGTGACATTTGATTTGATAACCAGATTACTGTTTGTGATGGGATTTTGTCTGTAGATCCGTTATAAAGTGGCATTCCTCGGGTTTAAATTTGTATTCACTGGTATGCAGATGCTGTTGGAGAGTTGGAGACAGAATTGATTTTCTTTATTGTGTTTATAGTAGGTTTCGGGTTTGCTTTTTGTGATAAATGCAAAGCTAAGTTTTTAAAGTTGGCTTGAGGAACCTCTCGCCTTGCCCTACACTAATGGTGTTGGGGGGCCTCTATGGGAATTCCTGTTGGGGGTTCACAAGTCTCAAGCTACGTCAGGAACTCTGTCTCCTGCGTTCACATCCTGGAGCCTTGGAGAGTTTCTTGGGAGAAGCCAGTTGACTCGGGACTTCTGTGGGAATTGGGTTGAGGTCTCTGAGGACCGTCATGCGTTCACGCAGCAGCCCGAGAGCACAGCACTTTTACATAAAGAGAAGATGCCAGGGGAATTTACCTAATCAGTTTTGTGGAGGTATTCCTGTACAAGAGCAGAGAAGTGTAAGCGACCACAGCTCTCTCCGCTCCCAGGGCTACAAGGAAGCTCAACATTGCCACTATTTTTCTAGGCACTGACTGGGCACTAAGAAGTAGGTGAGTTTGGCTCTCAGTGGTTTCTTTGGGGCAAAGATTTCATGAGACAGACAAACAGGGGTTTACAAAGAGAAATACTTTCAGTAGATCACTAAAAAGATAAAAAAAAAAAAAATGACCGGGCATGGTGGTTCACACCTTTGATCCCAGCACTTGGGAGGCAGAGGCAGGAGGCCAGCTTGGTCTACAGAGCGAGTTCCAGGACAAGCTCCAAAGCTACACACAGAAACCCTGTCTCAAAAAACAAACAAACAAAGTCTGTAACATAGCTGTATGTGACTTGTGTGTTTCTGTCTTTCCTTCTATGAGTAGTCACATTTTTAAAAAGTGCTGGGGGGGGGGAGGCAATATCTACCTAAATAAATGGAATAAAAAACAATTTAGAATTAGAAATCAAAGTGATATCTCACTCTTCTTGGATTTTTTTGTAGTTGCTTTTATAATTTCTTCTCCTCTTCTTCCTCCTCCTCCTCCTTCTCCCTCTCTCTCTCCTCCTTCTCCCTCTCCTTTTTTCTTCTTCTTCCTCCTCCTCCTTCTTTTGTTTTTTTGACACAGTTTCTCCATGTAGACTGTCCTGGAACCTGCTCTGTAGACCAGGCTGGCCTTGAACTCACAGATATCCGACTGCTTCTGACTCTGGAGTACTGGGTCGAAGGCATGCACCACCACAGCCTGGCCTGGCACTCAGTTTCTTTACTCACTGTGAGGCCTGATATTTCTAATAACATTTAAGATGATAACCTTTAGCCCTCTGCTCACGTCAGCAGAGAAAGATCTTTGGGTGCTTACTATTTCCATTCTTTGAAAACATTCCACTTTTGCTGGTACTCGAGAGAGAGCTAAAGCACAGCTTGTGGAACTGTGGAATCAAAGGCAGGTGGTGGTAGCAGTGGAGGCGCTGATGGTGCTGATGTCCACTGCATTACTGATTGTCACCAGTAAGGCCTGGTGAGCTCCATGAGCACGGGTGCTGGACAGCCTGACTTCCACCCAGCGTGCCCCAGAAGGAGAACTGACTCCCCAGCTCGTTTTCTCACCTCCACACCTGCCTCCCCGTACAAAATAACTAAGTTAATAGATGCAAAAAAGCTGTAAAATATTCACCGTAAGGACTCTGTATAGCTTAGATAATGCACATAGAAAGCTTAGGTACACCGCATATGCTGAAATACGCAGTTATCACCTGCATTCTTTATCCAGGGGGCAACTAAAGCTTACAATAGCATTTTTCATTAAAACTCACGGAGTCTCTGAAATTTAAATTTAAATTTTAGCAGCTACAGATTTCCTGCTATAAAGATGCTATTTTGGCTGGGCAGTGGTGGTGCACGCCTTTAATCCTAGCACTCAGGAGGCAGAGGCAGGTGGATCTCTGTGAGTTCGAGGCCAGCCTGGCCTACTAGATGAGTTCCAGGAAAGGCACAAAGCTACACAGAGAAACCCTGTCTCGAAAAACAAAACAAAAACAAACAAACAAAAATGCTATTTTTGTCTACCTGTGCTTTTAAGTACTGTCTTAAATTCCAAGCCTTTAAATCTAATATATATATAATGTTTGGAGAAATTAGCTTTTGAATAGTATTACCTAGGAACAGATAAAATGTGGAAGTTATTTTGTACATATTGTGTGTGTGTGTGTGTGTGTGTGTGTGTGTGTGTGTGTGTGTGTGTGTCTGGGGCATTGGAGCGGGTGTGCATGCCACAGCACCTGTGTGGAGGTCAGAGGACAGCTTGCAGGAGTCAGTTACCTTGTGCCACCAGGTGGGTCCCAGGTGTTGAACTGATGCTATCAGTGTTGGCAGCAAGTGCCTTTACCCATTAAACCATCTCTCCAACCCTCTTTGGTACACTTTAAAGTACATAATGAGTAACCCTGGTCGGCATAAAAACAGCCTGCAGGTGGCAAGAGTTCCTGCACTGACTCTCCAGACCACCACAGGTCCTCCTCCTCACCTAAAATGGAATTATGCAAAATGCAGAGTGTAAATTTGAAGCCAGTCGTAAACAGAGAAAACAGTGGTTTAAGAATCTGGAATTTTAATCAGAAATAAATGCTTTTTTATTGTTGTGATTTTCATAGATATTCAACTTGAGCGTTTTAATTTAATTTTTTTCTGTATAAGAATTTTGACTATGCCTACAAGAATGATTCTTTTTGTTTTTTTCTTTTTTTTTTTTTTTGGTTTTTCGAGACAGAGTTTCTCTGTGTAGCTTTGCGCCTTTCCTGGAACTCGCTTTGGAGACCAGGCTGGCCTCGAACTCACAGAGATCCGCCTGCCTCTGCCTCCTGAGTGCTGGGATTAAAGGCATGCGCCACCATCGCCCGGCAAGAATGATTCTTAAAGCTTTAAGAAAACTATCTTTTTTTTTAGATTTCAAAACAATAAAACACTACTAGAATTTAGTGATCAGTTTTTAATTACTTATTTTGTTTGGTGAAGTTGCTTTCCTTTTCTTTTTTTTCTTTTTCTTTTTTATTGATTCTTGGTGGATTTCACATCATGCATCCTGATCCCATTCATCTCCCTGTTCCTTTGTGTCCACCCTCTGCCCTGGCAACCTCTCCCCTAAAATAAAATAAATTAAAAAAAAAAAACAATCAAACTAATTAACATAGAAAAAGTCTCATGCTCTTCATCTGCGAAAGATATTTATAACTGCCTTTCTCCTACAATATTTAAGAAAGATTTGCGAAGCGTTTAGTGCCATACCCATCATACATATTGTAAGGATCCATGTGGTTATTTATCATTGATGGCTCTAATCACGACAGCTTTCCCTTCAGTTTTTGTTTCATTAAACTCTGATGATGTTCACGGTTAACTAAACCTTTATTAGGTCTGGTGCTGTGGAGTTGCTTTTCTAGAAATAGTTCCAGGGCTCCTAGCTCTGTTCATCCACTGGCCGGCAGGGACATTGGGCAGTAAAGATAAAGTCTTTGTTTTCTGAGAAAGGAGATACAATAGCAATGCGGTTTTCCTTGCTCAAATGGACACCAGGAGCATCTAGTTGATGACCCTTTGTTTATTTCAGATCTTCTTTAATGCTCCCCTCCCCAGTTCTAAAGAGTCAGGCATCCCCTTAGAGTGGAGCTTCTCACACTCAGTGTGTGCATGAAGAACATGGGATCTTGTGAAGTGCAGACTGGATTCTGCGGCTCTGGGCTGGGCCCTGTGTTCCCCTTTCCTAGCAGATTTCCAGGTAATGCTGATGCTGTTAGGTGAAGGACTCATTTCCCACTCTGAGCAGAACTCCGTGCATTCTCGCGGCAGGATGGTAGAAACAGTGCTGTGGAGTTTCATAACTAATTCCTGGAAAGCTTGCCGGAAATAGTCTCCTGTGTTTCCACTTACAAGACAGGAACAGTGAAACACAGTTCTAGCCCTCCCCCAGCCAGACCAGGTAAGGTCGTGTTATAAAAAGTAAGAGGCTGCAAGCGGCTCTTCAGAAGACCTGCTGGCCCCCCTTTTCTCTCTCACCGCAGACACCGTCAGATCGCCAGCCCCTGTGGCCTGCCCATCCACTCCTCTATTCTCTGCTCAAGCTGTTGTCTCGAGATACCATTTCACACTTTGTTATGCTCCTTCCTCCCCTAGACACACCTTCACTTCCTTTCAGGATACTGTTGCTCACCATATCTAATAAAATTGCCTCGAAATTGCTTAACTTCTCTAGGCTTTTTCCCTATTCTATAAAACCAGCCTGTATCTGGTGAGTGATCCCGAAATGGAGATGACCATCCCAGTCTCCCGGGGAGCTTTTGGGAAATACTGGGCATATCTGGGCCTACTGCAAATTTAATCAGCTATAATCACCAGTGTGGAATCTTGAAGTGTTCCCCCAAGCTCCGTTGAAGCACCAGAACCACTGAACTGGTGCTGTCGAAGCTCAGTGCTGGCCCCGCGGTGCCTGAGTTCCGTTCTCTCCGTGGGTCCAATGCCCTGCATAATTTCACCTCCGTGAGGGCAGAATCTCACTAGTCCTTTTCTGCAGCATTTTTGGTGCAATGCACAGTACAATGCCTAAGCACATAGGTGGTGATGTTAAATCGTTTGAATGCATGGCCTCTTCTCGTCTTATGGATTTCTCTAACCTTGGCCTATCTTCAGGTCCGGCTCCTCTTCAACAGGACATGTTTCCCGTTCATTTTCACTCTCATCTATCTATCTCCTCAGGAATGGAATAGTCCTAGCGTTGGATCCTGCAGCTTCTTACCTAATCATAGCTTTTGTTATATTAGTCATTGCTTCATTTTTAGATGCTTTCCATTAGATTATATGATCTTTATGGACACGAAATATATCTTAATAGTTTCGTGCCTTTCCCTGAGCTCCTTTACTCTGGGTTCAGAGTAGAAACTTAAGCCCCACCTTACACACTCTTTTGTGCTCCAATCACTCTGACCTTCTGGCTTTTCAAGTTTGCCAAGGGTTCTAGCCCCAGGCTTTTGCACTTCCTGTGCCCACTGCATGGACATTATCCCTTCCTTAGCCACAGCTTACTCCCCCACCTCCTCCAAGACTTTGCTAAAATTGTACCCTCTCTGTGAGTCAGTCCTTCACTGACTGCTGAGTGTGAAATGATACTTCTCTAGGAAGCCAGTACTTTATAGCCATTTAATTTTCTCTAGAACATTGTCATCATATCTTATTCTATAGAACTTATTGACTTAATGCCCCCCCCAGCATATTGTTTATGTAAGCAGATTTTGTGTCTTTCCTTTCATACCATTAGCACCTAGAATAATGCCTGACACAGTGTGGACATGCAACGTTGGGTTGTGATTAGTTGTCTAATGTACCCCAAACCTCCAGTTACTACATTGAGTTCATGATTCAGAAGCCTGTGCTCAGGTTTCATCAGGTGTCCTGATGCTCACACCAGACTGCAGCTGATATTCAAGATGGGAAGTGGGGTCATCAGCCAGTAGCATGACGTCACTAGAAACCCGTGAGAGAGCTCCTCCTCCACCCCAGTACAAACCTCTTCCCAGCACTGTCTGTCTCTTATCATTCCTCAAGCCAGCAACTCACCCTCACCTTTTTTCTTCTTTCCTCTTTGCATCAAGTCACTTATTAGATCCTGCAAACTCGACCTCCTGGGTGTTGAGACCACTTACAGTGGTCTGCATCCGTTGCTGAAGTTACACACTAATTTTCTACCTTGAGTATAGCTCTCTCTAGATCACCGCACTGAAAAAAAAAAGTAATAATTTCATTGTTTCATTCTTCTGGCTAAATCCTGAGGAAGACCACCCTGATCAGACAGAGACTGTTTAGTCAACACTTGCTGTTGGGAAGGAGTCATTTGGCATTGCTTATTTTGGGCTGAGAATGCAAGACTGGCACAAAAGCTTGATGTGGAGGGTGTGTTGTGATGATTAGAAATGGTTGCCATGGAGAAGCGTGAGGTAGGCTGGAGGCTGGGCGTCCTATGTAATTGCAGTGTGAAGCATAATTGTGTATTTTATGCTGGCTGTTTCTTTTTGGCTTTCTCTGATTGGTACCGAGTTGAAATCAGGAGGTAAACAGTAGAGCAGCTGGAAGTCAGTGACCAAACTTTGATTTTTCTGAGCATGTTTCTGTAGAAGTTATGGCTTGCCTTCATGGATTGCTGTGGGATTTTCAGGCTGGGCCTGAGTTCAAGCTAGACTACATAAGTAATTGTCAACAAACAAGTCTGACCATTGTCCATTTATATATTCACTCTCAAAACATTCCATGGCTTCCTAAGTTCTTTGTATGACATCCAGAGCCTTCTGTATGATTCCATGCTGATAGCTACCTGAGATCAGGACGGTATGCCTGTCATACTTGAAACATAGAGTCTGCAAATTAAAACTTATGGAAGGCTGGGAAAGTAGAATGTGTACAGAGCAACATCAAGTGATGGTGTGGGATAAACACAAAAGAATTCCTTGCTGCTTTCTTTTTTCTTTTCTTTTCTTTCTTTCTTTCTTTCTTTTTTTTTTTTTTTTTTTTTTTTTTTTTTGTGGAGACAGGGTTTCTCTGGTAGTTTTGTTGCCTGTCCTGGATTTCACTCTGTAGACCAGGCTGGCCTTGAACTCACAGAGATCACAGAGTAGAGCCTGGCTCTACTTCCCAAGTGCTGGGATTAAAGACGTGTGCCACCGCTGCCTATGCTTTCCATTTTTTAATGAAAGGTTATGTGAGGAAGAAAATTTGAATAAAAAAAGTTCATGCACCAATTTTCCATTTCAGTACCATTGTCTAACCCTCAAAGCAATTATTTCAAAAGTTATAACATAAAGGCTATCCTATCCTATTTGCCATTAGCTGTATTTGTATCCATAAAATCTGAAAACACAGGAAGAACAGAGAAAGAGACAGTAACCGTAGGTGACAGGCACTGTTAAAACTCCAAATCTCCAAGGGCAAAATTATGTTTACCAAACTATTTGTTAACGGCAAATTTAACAATTATGGTTAACAATATTGGGAGGTTCTCCAAGGCCCCACCCCTGGCTGAGGAGCTATTAGCGATTGGTGGCTACTATGGGACTAAGAGTCACTTTTCTTTGAGGGGCCACCTCTGGCAGGTTGCCCATGCCTGATTTAATAACTTCATAGCCATGTGCATATGGGTGGCTTTAATTTGACTCAGTGGGTTATAAAAACATTAAAAGAACTGGAAGCAGGAAGGAAGATACAATGGGGAAAAGGGGCCTGGGAAGGTGGAGAGAGGGAGTGGGTACAGATATGATTGAGATGCACTGTGTGAAAATTTCAAAGAGCGTGTGTGGGGTTGTGGGTGGGGGTGTGGGAATGTGTGTGCTTGACTTAATTTCTTTATTCCTCTGGGGTGGAATAGTAAGAGCTGTGTGTTCCTAGGGTATTTTCAAGCCCATGGACCTTAATCATATCATCAAACTCCTTGAAGAGACTGATAAGGTGAGTAACCTTTGAGGAGAAGTTACTTTGCTATCTCAGAGACTCACATTTCCCTGAACAATAATAGGCATTCTCTGTAATGTGAATATTGTTTATCTCTTTTGTTGAAAACTTTCTCCACAATATATGTTTTATATTCAAGGAATTTAAATTTAGTATGAGAACCAATTTGTTTTCATAAGAGGGTCAAACCCAACCATATTGGCTATAATCAGAAGGATCTGCAAGAGTAGAGAAAGGACTTTCAATCCTGGGTTAACACTTCAAGAGTAAAGACTGTCTATCTTGGGCTAATACCTCAAGAGTAGAGAAAGAGCCATCTGTCCTGTGCTAATAATTCTTTCCAAGTAGGACTAGAGAAGAGACCGTACCAAAAGGACACTAAAGAACTAGTAGAAAATTTTAATCTGGACATGTAGACAGATTTATATATATATATACAAAGATGATTTGTTTTAAGAAAAATGATGAGAATACAAAGAAAATATTCTTATATAAACCTCAAAAAATGTATTGGGAAAAGAGATAGTAACTGTGTATGCCTGGCTCTGCCTCCCAAGTGCTGGGATTAAAGGCGTGAGGAATGCACATTTTTTAATAAATAGAAAATAGATTGACTCAGGTTTAACCACCAAAACAAAGTAACATCCTATGATTAGTAAACACAAACATTTAGCTATTGCTTTAACATTTTTAGTCTCTACTTTTTTAGGGAACAAAAATAAAAACCACCAAGAGCAATTTATCTTTTGATGACTACTTTTTGTGAATTTAAATGTTTAAATTGCAGATATATCTGCATTCAAACTGTGGAGAGTTCCTATTAGTTGTTTTTGAAGGCAGCATGGAAAATATAGACAGTGATTGCACTTTTCATGAACAGGTTAATTTGAAAGGGGGTAGAGGCAGGCAAGAAAACTCACTGGGTAAAGGCATTTGCTGTCAAACCTGACTACTTGATTTCAATCCCCAGAACCCACATGGTGGAAGGAGAGAACAAACCCCTGAATATTGTCTACTGATGTCCTCGTACATGCCATAGAATGCATGTATGTGCACACACACACATATACAATAAGTGTGAGATGAAAGAAAACAACACATATCAGGGGTTTTGTTTTTAGTTGACACAAGTTTTGAAAACACATTACTGTGTAGAGGAGTATTAACTACACTGAAAGTCTATATGACTCAGTGAACAATCAGAATTGGCATTCAGAACAGAAGCTGTGAAGCTTCACATAAAATTTTGTTTCAGTTTTTAGTATATTTTATGTATTTATCCATCACAAAAACAAAAACTGCATTACAGATTAATAGAAAACCAATTTGCTTTATTTCCTCTGAAAACTCATGTCCATTACTGAATTCAGTTCTTCTTTTTCCTCTTATATTTAGCCTTTCTTGTTTTCTTTCTTTTTTAAAAAAATTTTACTTTAATTATGTATACAGTGTTCTGCCTGCATGTATCCCTTCAGGCCAGAAGAGGGAGCCGGATCTCATTACAGATGGTTGTGAGCCACCATGTGGTTGCTGGGAATTGATCTCAGGTGCTCTGGAAGAATAGTCAGTGTTCTTAACCTCTGAGCCATCTCGTTTTCTTTTTAATGTGGTACTGTATCCATATATACATTTGCTTTTTATGTAAGACTTAGTAATTTTAATGTGTCTATACACTGAATATATTTTTTAAAATCTTAATTTAATGACACAAAAGAACTAACAGCCCATTTGTTTTAGGATGACTTAGAAGAAAAACAACTTGATTGTGTCAAGAAACTGGTGCACTGTTATCAGAATGGATTTGTATCCTTTATATCTGTGCGCGCGTGTTCATTTCATTCATCTGGAAACACTGGGAAATGTACTAGATTCCTTCCTTTTGACCCAGTAACAAGGTGTCGCAAGCCATGTAAGTTTGTTATCTGATACCTGTAGAGATCAGCAGCTCAGAGTTCATCTCACTTGGCCAATGTCAAGGTGTCAGCAGGGACTGGTACACTGAAGGTCCAGGAAGGAGGTGAGGGCCATTTCCTTGACTTTGCCACCTGCTGCGGGCTTCCTGCAGACCACTGGCTCCGGAACTGGTGCCTCAGTGACATCACTGTCACCTCTGTTTTGTTGTAGCTTCTCATCCTCCTGCCTCTGACACTCCTGTCTCCCATGTCCCCTTATAAAGACCCCGCCCCCTATGGTTACAACTGAACCTATCTGGATAATCTAGTATAATAGTCTGTCTTCATTTGCTCTTGTTTTTCCATGATAAAAAGCCATGACCAAAAGTAACTTGGGGATCAATGGGTTTATTTCAGATTACAGTTTACGTCTGACATAGAAGGAAATAGGGCAGGAACTCAACCTGGAGGCAGAGCTGAAGGCAAGATCATGAAGGGAGACTGCTCACTGGCTTGTTCCCGTGGCTGCTCAGCTACTGTTCTGTATAGCTCAGGACCAGAGGACCACATGCTTAGTTAGAGGTGGCATTGCCCACCACGGGCTGGGCCCTCCAGCTATCATTAATCAAGAAAACACCACACAGACTTGCCTACAGGCTAGTTTATGGGGACAGTGCCTCAGGTGGGGTTCCTTCTTCGCAGAGGACAAGTTGACAGAAACTAATAAGGACAATTTCCCTCTAACATCCTCAACTGCATTTGAGAGTCTCTTTGCCATCCAAGGTAGCCTCTTCAAAGGTTCCTGAGACAGAGACATGGCACCATTGAGGAGACTGTCATTCTCTCCATTATATTGTTATTAACTCTGCATAATGTCGATTCCTATAGATTCAAAAGCCACTAATATGATTAGAAGGGCCAAGTCAGCCTCATTTCTGCCAGTATACATAGCGAGTTTCATCTTGATTACTATCTTATCGGCTCTTCCCTTATGAAATAGGAATGATCCCACCTCAGTAGGTTATTAAGAAGATCAGATGAGATAATAATTCCTTATCACAACAGGTAGAAACCAGTGCTCACACCTAAAAGCTATCTATTTGTGTGTAATAACCAATTTTATGCTGGTAACTATTTGCTTTTTAAACTTTTGTATATAGATGATTTGAAAAGTATAATAAAAGTTTCACAGTTACATTAGGTTGTTATACATGTTTTAAAATGCCTACTCTCAAGTCAGGTGTGGTGACTCATACCTGTAACCTCAGCACTCAGGAGGTAGAAACTAGAGAATCAAGAATTCAAAGCCAGCTTCCATATGTAGTAAGTGTAAGGCCAGCCTGGGCTAAATGACACTGTTTCAAAACAACAACAAAAGTCAGCCTTCACTCTCTGCACTCTGAACTCCAGGGCAAAGGTCCATAGACCCTACTCTGGGTGGAACTGGACTGACTCTTTGCTGACAGTCTTCTGATTTGGTCTAAAGAAGATGTCCGTCTAATAAGATCTTGTTCCAGTTCAAAACATCTTAAGCTTTCCACTAAGAGAAATGGACACATCTTATAACTTTCTGTAAATATTTTCTTTATAGTAGCCTTGTTTTATGAGGATCTGTTGGAGCAGTCTGAAAGCTTGTGTATATTAAGTACTACTTACTGGTAGCCAAAGAAGTCTACTAGCAAGTGTTTTTTCCCCTGTTTAATTGGATACCTCAGCACCTTCATGATTGTTTTTCCTCAGGATAGACAGTTGGTAGCAAGTAGCTCTGAACAGCTTTAATAGGCTGGCTTATGTGTTGTGATACTTTATAAAGTTAAATTAGGGAAAGATCACTTCCCTAGGAAGTTGTTAGGAGACGTTTCCTGGAGAGACGTGAGCAAACACTTATTTACCTAGATACCACTGATAACAGACCAAAGGAACAGTCCTACTTAGTCTAGTTGTGAGTCTGTTGTGGTCCCTTGCAGAAGTATGCAGGAACAGTTGCTTAACAGGAGTCTAGATGACTCAAAGGCAGCTGCGGGCACTGAAATGCCCACCCCCAGTGATGACTCATAAGATCTGCATCACTGAAGCTTCCTGCAGAGCTTGCAGGCATCTGGCCAGCTGCAGAGTCTCCTTTTCCCAGCAGATGTATGTCTAATACAACCTTGGAGAGGGACTTCATGAATTCATGAATCTTGTAAGTTCCCACTTTCTAAGCTGGTCAAGTTTTGTTTATTTCCTGAGCCTTAGGAACCTCTGTCCTTTTCCCAGGAGACAATGCTTCAATTGAAGGAAATTTCTACACAGCACTGCACCCCTTCCTCCAGCTCTTACGTTCTTTCTGCCTTCCCTTCTGTATTTTCCCTTGATCCTTGGATGGGGTGATACAGATGTTGGATTAGTTTCCCTCATCTGTGACAGAGTGTTGAGCAACTATGCCTGAGCAACAGTCAAGTCAGCTCAGAAGTTTGATGTCTTATGAGTCTCTGACGTACAACACCCATTGCGGAAAGAAAGTTTCCCTTTTTGACCAAGGCTGACAGCAGCAGCAATCTACAGACATAATCAGAAGTGTTTAGAAGGTGATTTAACAAGCAGATTCCATCTATTTAACAAGACAGTGGTAGTTGCATCCCCACTGAGACCTGTGACCTTTTCAGCCAGGGGCTTTCCAGTTGGCTGTCAGTTCCAGATGTGGATCTCCTCCATGGAGTGGAGTTCCAGATGTGGACCTCCTCCATGGAGTGGGGTTCCAGATGTGGACCTCCTCCGTGGAGTGGGGTTCCAGATGTGGACCTCCTCTGTGGAGTGGGGTTCCAGATGTGGACCTCCTC